ATGCCTTTGCCATTACAAGTATAACATTCACGAGGAATATGTTTGTCAAATATATCTCACACCAATTAATACGGTGCCTTAGTGAACAGAGCACAGGAATCATAAGCGACTAGATCGAAGAATACAAGAGCATGTGTGTATTTCAGCCATTAAGTTGAGAAAGACAAACTGTTTTTACTTAAATCTATCATCAGAAAATAATGTTTGTCTGCCTTATGAAAGAGAAATAAGTATATCAGCATTATGTATGTTATACATGTATAAATATGACTAAACCAAAAAAATATATATGCATATATAGATATATATACATAGATAGATAGATAGATATAGATAAATATATAAAAACATATGCCTATATATTATATATATACATACACACACACACGTGTGTGTTTGTATGCGTGTATATATGTGTGTGGTATACACATATACATGAGCGTGTGTCCATGTACTGACTTCTTACACATCTGCAAAAATGAAGTCACGGGTCACAAAAGATCACACAGAGAAACGTCAGAGTTAAAAGGAAAACTTCTCTTTCATTTTTTACTTCTGCCAAAGAAGAAACAGCACCCAAGAGAGGAAGACAAAAGACAGTAAGAAAAGTAGATGAAAAAGACATGCAAAATTTTCCTGCTTCTCCGTAAGTAGTCTGATGTTATTCCATACTCCGTGTCTAAACGCCTGACGAAAACTGCATTAGGATTTTATTTACTGAACGTTGAGCCAGGAAAAGATTATTGTCATTTGGCATGTAAACATAAACAGTTGTTCCAAGTATCATTTAGAAAAAAAATCAATGCTGTACTCTTTAAATTCCATTATCTTACTCTTACATACTTTTTATTGTAAGGAGGGGTTGACAGGATTACCATTACTGTTATTGTTATTATTATTATTATTATTATTATTATCGTTGTGTTATTGCTGTTGTTAATGGTTTTGCTGTTTTTATGAAAATGGTAATAATAATAATAATAGTAATAATAATAACGATCATATCTATAACAGTAGTAATAATAATGTCAATAATGATAATAACAATGATGATTATGATTTTGATAATGATAATAATAATGATACTAATACTACAATTACTACTACTACTACTACCACCACTACTACTATTACTACTAATAATAATATCACTAATAATGATAATGAATAAAATAACAATCATAATGAAAATATGATAATGATGATGACGATGATGATAATAATAATAACAATAGTAATAATAACAGTAATAATAATGATAATACTTCAAATATATTACTGACGATTATAATAATGATAATGATGATAATAATGATAATGCTAATAATGAAGATAATAGTAATAATAAAGAAATGACAATAATGATTATTATTACAATAATGCAAACTATAACAACAATAATGATAATAATAGTAATAATAATAATAATAATAATAATAATAATAATAATAATAATAGTAATAATAATAATAATAATAGTATTAATAGTAATGATAATACCAATAATAATAATGATAATGATAGTAATAATAGTAATAATAATAATAATAATAGTATGATAATAATATAGCAATAACAATGAAAATGACAGTATTAATTATGCTGCTGATAAAAATCATATTACAACATCATACGAATAATGATTAATAAATGATTTAAGTGATAATAACAATATAAAGTGATACTAAGAATAACAAGCATCACTAATGGAATGATAGTAAGATACTAATCCATGATAATAATGATAATAAAGCTAATATATAGTGATAATAAGAATGAAATAAATGATAATAATGATAATAATGAAATATAATGAAATAATATCATAGTAATAATAATCTATAATAATAATAATATTAATAATAATAATAATAATGATAATAAGTAATAATGATAATAATAACAATAACAATAACACTATAATCATAAAAATTTTAAATAAAATAATCATAATCATAATAATATAATCAAATAATAGTATTAATAATAATAATGAATATAATAATATGATACTCGTAATACTAATACATCAGAGTAATAAATAATGATAATAGAATATAATGATGATAATACTATACTAATAATAATATATAATGATAATATAATAATAATAATAATCATAATAATAACAATAATAATAATAATAGTAATAATAATAATAATATAATAATAATAATAATAATAATAATAATAATAATAATAGTATTAATAATAATAGGATAATCATAAATCATATGATATAGTATAATAATAACAATCATAGTAATATATGATAATAGTAATGATAATATGATAATAATAATAATAATAATAATAATACGAATAATAATAATAATAAGAATACATAATAATAATAACAATATAATAATAATAGTAATAATAATATAATAATAATAATAATAATAATAATAATAATATAATAATACTACAATTGATGATGATGATAATAATGATAATAATAATAATAATGATATAATATTAATAATATAAATAAAAATGAATAATCATGGTAATTGATAATAATCATAAAATGATAACATTGATAATAATTATCATAAGATTAATAATAATATGAACAGTAATAATAATTGATATGAGGGATAATGATGATTATACATAATAACTGTAATGAGTAAAAATAACGAATGATTATTATAATAATAATGTTATATTACTAAAAATGATAATAGTGATTATAATAATATATATAATAGTAATGATAATGATAATAATGATAATAACGATAATAATAATAAGTATTCAGTTTTTGGCATTGTTATATCATTATTATACTCTTGTTTAACTAATAATAATATGATGATAATAATACAAGTTGCTTATCATAACCGTAACAAAAGTACTGATAAGGATATAATAATAACAATCATAATAATCATTATTATTATCATTATTATTACTATTATTATTATTTTTATGTATTATTATTATCATTATTTTTTATTATCATTATTAATTATCATTATTTTTATCATCATCATTATTACCGGTATACTTTTATCGTATCTTCTTAGAAAGTACTTCTTTTTAAATCAAAATCTGCACTTCCATTATTACGCAAAGATACTTATTTCCTGAACATTTCATAAAAGCATTGTTTGTTTTGAAAACAATTTGGAAATTCTATTTCGCGTAGAAGAAAAATACGTACAATGTAACTTTCATTGCTACAAGCAATTAATTTAGTTTGACCTTTTATAGAACGACGCTAGCGAACCTCCCTCACAGAAAGACTAAAATATCAAAACTTTCATCTCCAAAAATTCTTCTAATTTTGGAATACAATTAAACGCATAATATTTTAATAAAGAACTTGGTGTAAAAAAATGAAATTCTACACTAGTTTGGCTGTAATTAAATTCAATGTGCATTTTGTACATATTTAGAAAGTTCATAGATATTATCCAGTTTTGGATGATTATTGTATAGTAACATTACTACTGTGATAAAATTATAACAGTGATAAAAGCAATGTTTTAAAGAAGGTCTAAGTTAATGTTAATTATTAGAAATCCCTCAACAACAACGATGATATGAAGCCTTGACACACACACACACACACACACCACAGACATCCACACACAAAACACCACACACCCACCACACACCACACACACACACACACCACCACACACACACACACACACACACAAAGCAGAGTGTAATAACATTTTTTTTTTTAATATGCCTCAGACCAGCTTTACTTTCCACTCCGTTCGAAGACACTTTTAATTTTCTCAAGCCACTTTTCTTCTC